TCGCTGTCACCCACGTCATCGAATTCGAAAGTTGGCCGGTCTCCGCTCGTCGCGGCAGCTGGCCGCTTCATCCTCGCAAGCCTATTCATGTAATTCAAACGCAAGCGTCAATCAGAATTGGTCGGCGCTGCAAAGACAAGCGCAGCACGCCAAATTGCCTGAGCCAAAGCGGGCTATACCAAAGAGGGAGGGGGGGCGTTCGGGAGGAAGAGAGCCGGAGGAGGAGGGGGAGGGCGATGAAGAGTAAAAAGGCGAACAGCAGGAGGAGCTGCGAGGTCAGGAGTTAGAGGACGACGAGGTAGATGAAAGGGAGAGGGATGGAGCAGGGGAAGAAGGATGAGGAGGAGGAGGAGGAGGTTGAGAACGCCCGATAGCATAAACAAATCGAGTCCCTGGCCGCCGTGTCCAACGCCCATGGGTTGCCCCCTCTCCTCGAGTCCTCCTCCTACTCCTTTCCCCTCCCCCTTCCTCGTTTGCCTCTCTTTTAGCCCCCGAACCGCGCGGCGGGGCGCCCTTCCGGATGTGGGCCGGGCGTGGGCTCGCGAGGGGAGGGGCCGCGATCCCATTTCCAATTCTCAGTCGACCCTCTTGCAGGGCGGCCCACGGCGATTCCAAAACATGCCCAGCATGGGCAGCCCAGGCGGGGAGAATGAGGAGGAGGAGGGACCAGGGAGGAGGGGAAGGCGGAGGAGGAGGAGCTACAATACCAGGAGGGCTGTGCCAGAACGCCCGCCGCCCTTTCGTTCGATTTTCCACCCCCTCACTTCGTGCGTGATATTCAAGATCAGACGAACCCCAAATCAGCCTGACCGCTAGCCCCGCCACCGAAAGTGCCCGTGCACTCGCGTAGATTACCTAACGCATATGTTGCACCGAGCTCTGCGCTATTTAAAGGGGATGGGGCCGAGCGCACCTGAACCTATCTATGCAATAGGCATCTTGACATGCAACCCAGCCCCGGAAGCTAAATATGACACGCTCCTAACAGCCGAAAGTTTGACTAACGTCTTGGTGGCCCCACCCTTGCGGCTCCATACATTACCCCCCACGTAATCGTGCAAGTGTACACACGCCCAGAAAGCATCTGAAACACAGCACTTAGCCTGCGCAAAATATATAACAGTTCCTAGGCGTAAGTGCCCCCCGCACTCAAATAGAACTGCATCACTTGTTCTAATCTGGCCAGTTGCGTTATAGGCTGCCCTGCACGTCCACGCAGCTGTCACGGAGGGGTCGTTCAGTGCCTCGGCTGGCCTGGGGAGCTCGTGCACGACGTGTGCGGCATCATTCAGTTTGAGCTCTTTGTACAAAGAACCCGATGTCGCCTTCTGGCAAAATTTCGCCAGCACGTGATTCAGCATCGTCTTGTGAAACTTGTTGAAGCATCTTGCGCCAGAGCTTTTCGGCACCCTCAAACTGCGCTCACCAGGGAAGCACGATAAGACCTTAGCAGACGTGCGCGCAATGGCCGACGGGATCGACCAGACACGGAAAGGGTAGAGAGGGGGCGGTGGGAATGAGAGGGGGTGCAGGGGCGTGAGCGAGAAGGGTTCCGGAAAGCGGGTAGGGTTGGCTTGGGTTGAATGGGTCGGAGGAGGTGGGTAAGTAAAAGAGAACGTGCGTGGGGGGGCCAGGGGGGAAAAGATAGGGGGAATGGCGGACGTCGGGGTCGCTCTGGGGCCGTGACCACCCCATGCCTCTGTATGCAGTCTGGAATGTGTCCTGCGTGATGAAATTTAGGCTTCCCCACATATAACTCAGCATACCCCTTCTGGTGCTTAATGATCAGATCTTCAATCTCTGCGTGCCGCAAGACCGCAACGTCGCCAGCTCTGAGTATTCCAAGGATTTTGCTCAGCAATTGTAAACATTCAGTGTGCTTCCGGAGGCCAGCGTGGTCTTTCAAAACATGTTGACCAAATAATTCCAGCGAGTCTGTGGCGCGGATCACCTCCGCCGCGAAAGCCTTGATGTGGGGTAGTTCTTTCTTTGAGGAAGGTTTCACCACCCTGTCTTGCCAGAGCGTTTTTTTCCATGACGGGGCGCTCTTGGGGAATCGGAGTGCGTTCGTGAAAGCGTCTAGGTCCGCCAATGTAAACCCATGTTTATCTATCTGTAAAGCGAATAGGTTGAGCTGGTATTGGGCCAACCCCCCAGACGAGCAGTAGTTGTGCATCCAATCCCAGTATACACACAATGGGAATCTAGTGATCTGCATAGCACGAGCATCCCAGGGGAGCCCATGCCTATGATAAGACAAGCCAAACCTCGTGGACGCCTCCCCGAGAGCCCCCTTCGGGCCGGCCACGAAACCTTCAGGTTGCCTTCAATCGCGATCGCCCATCCCGGCCCCCCACTGCGATTCCGTTTTGGGCGGCCAAGGCTGGAAGGGGGGATTGAAAGGGCCAGGGGGCGATCGACATTGAAAGTGCCCCACCTAGTAGCCTCCCAGCCATGTTTGCAATCGTGTCCGGCGTGTGAGGTATGAATTTATGCTTATCTGTACACGTGCAAGATACAGCATATCCGCCCGCGGGTAGTCTCTGCGCGGCTTGCCTGTTTACGACGTTCACGCAATGAAGGCAGCGCTTGACCCCGCCAGCGCCCACGACACAACCGATCTCCTTGAATGCTTTTTCATCGCAAATCAGCGGCCCAAATCGGGCAGCTACCGTGAACTGCGCGCCGTCGGCGGTCATTACCATGCCGTCTTCGAAACTGAATTCAGTCGGCGAATTGGAAAATATGCGCTTGAGGATCGTGCAGAAGGCTCCTGATATATCAGCCCCCCCCACGATCTTTCCTGGTAGATCCGCCAGGCCGCCCAGCGCGCCTTCCCCAGGCACATCGTTAGGGTATGTTTGTGTTTTTTGTGGGCGTAGAAGAATATTAATAAGATATCGTGGCTATCAAGGTGCGCGGCGGATATCGGCGGAGCCACCTGAATAACACAGTGGTACCCATGATATGCACCTGTTTCTGAACCAACTGGGCAAGTCTGTGAAATTCCACGTCAGAGACCAGAATGTACGGCCCTTATCGGGCCTCTGATTGTTTCCACACTTTCCGTCGTCAGCGTGAATCGTCAAGGTGGCCCTGCGATGACCGACCCACTCGCGATAGAATCTTGCCGCATCGTTACTCCGAGACGAAATGTAGTGAAGTAGGGCTAAAGGGTGAACGAACTCTGTCTCGAAAGTCTTTCCGTCATCCAGTGGTGGAGAGATAGGCTGAACAACTGGTCCGTAGGGGGTCTCGGTCTTGGCTATTTCTTTCTGGTCATTGTAAACAACTTTCAGCAAAGCAGAGCGACCCGTTGAACCTCGCTTGCAGGATGCATTCACAGCTGCCGATATATTGCCCCCAGCCTCAACTATATTAGATATGGCCCTCCTCTTTGCGTCGAGAGCCCCCCGCCACAAATTCTTGCGTTTGGGCACGCTAAAACACTTGGACCAGAATGGCAACTGCTACGTGGGGAATGGGAGGAGGAGTAGGAGGAGGGGGACGGGGAGGTTTGGCGGGATCTGATTGTCCCTCTTTGGTGGCTTGTGGGACCCTGATGGAGGGCCAGTGGCCGGCCCACGGATGGTCGGCGGGATCGAGGTCCCCCCCGTTGCGCGGCACGAGAAGACGGAGAAAGGGGACGGCAGGAAGAGGCAGTTTGTCGGGGAGGCATAACATTTTCGCTCGGGACATCCTCACACGGATGGATACACATGATATGTTATCAGCGTGTTATGAAACACAAAAGCGTTTGGCCTGAGACATACTTCCGCATAATGGTATGTTGTGATACGTATATGTTTCGACGCCGTCTCTAACATATATGCATTTCGATGCCGACATCCTCGCAGAACCGACATGTCCCAGGCATTGTTTCGAACAGAGAGAATCGCCGCAGACCAAGCGAGGAGCGCGGCAGACTCGGACCAATTGTCAGACCCCTTTCGAGTCCCCCAGAGTATCATCCCTTCCCTGGGCACCAGCGCGCAAAACCCATGCCGCGCACCGACGGCTATGGTCCACAGTAGCCCCAAGCGGTGCAGGGCCATGGTTTTGCCACGTTGGCGCCCGCGGGAGGGATGGTACCTTGGGGGCCCTCTGAGCCCTCACGCACGCATCCACCCTCCCTTGCAAGCGCCGGGCGCGGGCCTGCGTGATAAAGTTATTCTCGAAATACGGGCCGGCCGGCCGCGCGCGCGTCGGCCCCCCCTCCTCTGCTTCCCCTTCCTCCTCCTCTTCGCCTCCTCCTCCTCCTCCTCCTCCTCTTATCCCTCCTCATCCGCATTTTGCTCACCTCCTTCATCTCCCTCCTCTCCCTGCTCATCCGGTCGGGGGTGATCGAAGCTGGGGATGGGGCACCCCGGATCAGGCGTGCAAGTGGCCTGAGGGGACCTCGAGGGGTCGGGCCCGCCCCCGCGTGCAGGTGGCGCGCAGGTGGCGTGCAGGTGGCGTGCAGGTGGCGCGCAGGTGGCCTTCGGCGTGCAGGTGGCGTGCAGGTGGCGTGCAGGTGGCGTGCAGGTGGGCGTGCAGGTGACGTGCAGGTGGCGTGCAGGTGGCGCGCAGGCGGCGTGCAGGTGGCGTGCAGGTGGCGTGCAAGTCACGTGCATGCCATGTGTAGGCACGCGTGCACCCCGCGCGCGCGCGTGGTGCGTCCAGATTGTTGGCAGAGGTGTGAGGAGGAGGAGGAGGGAGAGCATGGAGGAAGATAGGCAGACGTAGGAGGAGGTAGAGCCAGCACATGCTTATTCCTATCTCCCAAACTCATCGGGATATCACCTATTCAATCCTAGCTAGGCGCGAACGATGCCATGCACCGTTGCTTTCCCCGACCTGCCGAGTCATGGAGCTATACTACTCCAAAGTGAGGGGGGCAGGAAGAGGGGTTGGATCGACCAAGAGCGAGGGGAGATACAAGACGTGCATAAATGCGAGGGTCAGGGGGGGGGGTCTGGTGGAAAGGAGAGCGATAGACTAAACATGAGCAGGATCCAAGTTTACTTGGCTGAAGCCGAAGCGGTGCGCTTCGTGGCTGAAATGTGGCTCTTGGCCGCACAGGCGTTAAACATATTTCCCAACGCGCCCATCAGCTCAGTTGTGAAGGCGCTCGTTTCTGCTGACTGCTGGCCAAGGCTGCTGCCTTCCAGCGAATGGTAGTTGCGCTTGCCACTCGAGATCATTGCCTTGATCAAAGGCATGGCGGCTGCCCCTAGCAAGGTCGTCGGAATGTATCTGGCAGCAGCGCTGCACACGTGGTCCGGCGACAGATGGTTGACGATGTGGGGGTTCACGCCTTTCAGGGCCACGCGCTCCTTGTCGGAGAGGAACCGAAAGACCATGCGTTTCTGACAAGGCTTCTCCAAGTCACGCGTGCTCAGCAGGAAGACGTGCTTGTAGTCCAACGACAGGGCGAGGGCGTCGTCGCAATAGAGCAGCGAGCCAGGTCGATCGATGTTGACTGCAGCCACACGATCCTCGGTGCGCTTTGACGGCGAACGGCGAACCACTCTCTTAATGAAGCGCTCGTTGTCCACCAGGTTCTCGCGCATGTGCTTCCATGAGATATTCCCGCGGATGATGTTCTCCTCGGCCTGGTCGAGGAAGTAGGAGAGACGAAAGCTGCCAATGGTGGCCATCGCGTCCGGCATGACATCGGAATGCACCTTGGCGAAGGCCAAACATCCACGCCCATGCGCGCCCCCTCCCTTCCTCGGAGACACATTGAAGGGGGGCTCTGCGAATTGACGTGGAATTTGGCCGCCGAACCTTTCTCAAGCACCGTATGAACTGCACGACGTCGGGTTGTGGCAAACCGTAGTCCTGCGCGCGCAGCTCCACGATGTCCCAGTGAAAGTGCGGGGCGTGCTTGGCGCAGAGGCTCAACATGTTCGGCAAGAAAGGTTCACGTCCACGGTGGCTCTCCATCGTCTCGGAGGGGTGCGCAACAACTGCGACTTGCAGCGCGTCGCTGTTGATCAGACGCATCAGGTACTGAAACAACTTCGCATATTCGTGCATGGCGGTCGGAGACTCGGACCTCTTAGCGCCAACTGCCCACGCTGGCAAGGGAGGCTTGCCGACAACCACCTCGGCACCCTCGAAGGCGGTAACAGGCTTGCTGAGCATGTTACCGTTCGCTTTCCCTAGCAAGGGCGCCGTAGAGAGTGCGTGCTTTCTGGCCATCTTCTTGATGATGGTCCTGTTATGAATGTCGGTGTCCATAATGTTCACGCTCTCGATCTTCAGGCCAGCAACGTCGAACACCTGTGTAGTTTCCACGATGCCACCGCAAGGGAAGGCAACCCTGATGGCGTGGGGCCGCTCAGGAGGACTGGGACCCAGGGGAGAGTGGCCCGGAAACAACAGCGAAAAGGGGTCGAACATCAGGTCGAGAAACTCCTTGGCTGGAAAATATCCGCTCGGGCCGCCTGGCCCCGCATCAGGTACCTGTTGCGGGCTTGGCGACGTTGTCTCCGCCGCGGCGGCAGATGCTGATTCCTGAGATGAGCTGGGTTCTGACTGTGAGAATATCTCGCTGAAACGTGATGCGAGAAACGTGAGGTCCTCAGGGTCAATCTTGGGCGCCTCGCTCTTGGCCTGCTTCGCCTTCTCTCGCGACAGCATCGTCAAGGGGCCAATAGCGGCCGGGCGCTTCTGGCCGGCTAGTCTCGCCACTGCATCGTCAAGGGACCGCTTCCGGCCTGGAACGTGCATTGTGGGGAAACGCAAGGAAGATAGTGCCGCGCACAGCGCCTTGAGCCAAAACGGCTATACCGTTAGGAGAGGAGGGTTTGTAGTATTGGAGTACGTCGAGATGAGGATGGATGGGGGAGAGTAACAGGATTGTATTTCGCAGCGTGGCAAAGGGCGAGGGAGTGGGATCAGGGTGGGGGGGGAGGAGGGCGAGCAGGAGGCGGAGGGGGAGGGAGGAGGGGGGAATGGGAGAATGAGGACCCATGGGCGCCAACGCTTTGCTTTTGACCAGCCCCCTGGAAGAGCGAGGAGAAGGAGGAGGGGGAGGAGGATGGGGGAGGAGGGCGTTGAGCACGAGGGGGGTAATGAAGGAGGGCGTAGAATAGATTGAATGCGAACGCGAAGTGTTTTTCACTTTCTGCAACATGGAATCTACTATCTACCGGGCTTTGTCTGGAAGCGCTTGCCTGGGCAAGGGCTGCGGCTGGCAGATGCAGGGCGCACGTCCTGGAACTTAGGCTGCGCTAAGGACACTCCCCAATACATGCACAAGAAACCCATTAGCATCGACAATGCCGACCGCCACAAAAGCAGTTCCCCGCAGCTTGCCCGCGGGAACTGAGCCGAGCCTGGGCACTACACCGCCTGCTACTTGCTAACGCTACTTTGCGTTGGCAAGGTCACGAAGATGCTTCTGCACGAGCTTCCACGCCTCGCGTGGGTCACGGCTGCCCCACGCAAACTTCTTGTCATCGCGCGAGGCCTTCTCCGGCTTCACGCGCCAGAGGTTCTTGTTGTGGGAGCAGTAGATCGTGGCCTCACCGCAGCTCATCGGTTCGAAGTACCCGGTCCCAGGATAGGCAGGAACCTTCAGCTTCCCCCCAGAACTGGGCTCGGGGACTGAGCCACTCTTCGCAGGCGTCGACGGGCCTGCCGCAGCGGGCTTCTTCTTCGCAGGGCCTGCACTCGCTGCCGCCGGGCGCTTCAAGACGGGGCGCCCTGTGTCGCTCGTCTTACCCTTGCTGGCCGACTTGCCCCCCTTCTTGCCCATTTCGTCGAGCATCTGATCCACGGCGGCCGCTGCAGCATCGCCTGGGGCAAGGGCCGCAGCGGCGGCCTCTGCACCTGCGCTGGGCTCCGCCGCCATCGGCGGCATTATCGGAACTGGCGCCGCGGCCGGACCTGCGACTGGGCCTGGAACAGCGCCCTGCGGCGGTGGCATCAGCGCAGGACCCTGAAACGGCGGCGCCTTGCCGCTCGGCGCCGCCGCGCGAACCCCCGCTGGCGCAGCCTGCCTCAGCTCAGCACCTCGGGAGAAGAGGAGGGGAGGCATCTGGGAGGAGGAGGAAAGGAGGCAGATGAGGAGCAAGAGGGGGAGGATAAAGGTGCAGGAGGACGAGGCAAAGGAGGGTGAGGAGGGACAAGATAAATTGAAAGAAGGGCGTAAGTTTGGGCAACCTCGGCACTGCGCTGTGCCCCTGCGCTGCCCGCGACCGCGCCGTCCACGTGGTAGCCTGGTGGCGAGTCCTGGTAGCCCAGCGGCACGAGCTGGTAGCCCGGCGGCGAGTCCTGGTAGCTCGGCGGCGAGTCCCGGTAGCCCAGCGGCCTGGCGCCAAGCGGGGGCGCCGCGCAGGCGGGCGGGCACGACCTCGCCCGCGCCACCGCCGGAGCACGGCGCGGCCCCTTGTTCCCAGTCAAATGGTTCGAGACGCGGCGCGGCATCGCGCTCTTCATGATGGGGAGCGCATCTGGGAAGAGATCGCCGGGAGGATCGACTGCAGGTGCCGCGAGGAAGCCCGAGTTGAACAGCACAGAATCTACCTCGGCGAGGGCGTACGGGTCCTCAGGGTAGACCTTGATGAATTGCTGGGAGGGTGGAACGGTCTTCCGGAGCGTTTTCAAATTGCTCTTGCAGGAGTCCCTCCACCAGATAGCATCGTTCATGGTATTGTCACGCTGCGCCCACTGGCCCACCGCACTGAAATTCGCGACGGTGTCCTCGTTGGGGAAGAGATTGCGCAGCGTGATCATCTTGTTCACAATGGTGCTGATGGCCATCTCCGCGGTTGTGCGAAGCGCCTGCCACTCTGCCTCGGTGAAATACCTCTCTGGATACTGCACGACCTGCTTCTTCTCATCGTCCTTGACGACTTGGCCCGCGCCAGTCCCGTCGAGGTCGGTCTTGCCGTTGATCCCGGCGACCAGGGCCCGCCGATCAGCTTCGACAAGAATGTCGAGGGCCGGGCCGGTCAACACCTCCACTAGTTCAGAAGCGACGTGAATAGGCAAGGCTGTGATCGATTCCAGCTGGCGCAGCACGGCAGACGTAGCAGTGCGTGACATCGTCGTGTGCCGATGGCTCATGATCTCCATCCCACCGTGGATATTGCAAGTGATGAACTGGAGCCTCGCCTTAGTGAACTCCATGAACAGCTCGGCCCTCTTGGCGAGCTGAGCAGGCGCCGCCATGCACTCGGCGAGGTGACTGCAACTGGTCCGAATCGCGCGAGAAGCAAGATAACGAAATGTCTCGAGCCAAAACGGCTGCGGGGGAGGGGCAGGTGGAATGAGGAGGAAGATGGGGATGGCGAGGGAATGGGAGGACAATCTCCTATCGAGGATCGAACCTCGTATCTTGATAATCGAGGTTCGTTGCTTGCTTTCCTTCGGGGGCCCCTTCCTCTCTATCGAGGATCGAACCTCATATCTTGAAAATCGAGGTTCGTTGCTTGCTTTCCTTCGGGGGCCCCTTCCTGAGAGGGTTCTGGGGGCACATTTCGGACAGAGTTTGGCGTCGCTGAGGCTGGCAAGACCCTCTCGTCGTCGTCGCCGCGACAGGCATAGTGCGAGGTGCGAGGGCGGGCAGGCTTAGACTCCCGCCCTCCTTGCTCCGAGGGAGGGGGAGGTGGAGGAGTAGGGGAGGTGGGGGATGTGTTGGAACAATACATGAGACGTAAACCAAGAGAACGATGTGGATTCTTATCATTTTCGTCTCCTGAATCCAAAGAGCACTGTATTTGCAAAGGACTGTCACCGACGGAGAAACCACATACCGTCTGCGCCTACGCAGTCCCAATGTGTATACACACACGGGCATTACAGTGCAACTCGGGAAGTGTAACTTGGGAAAAGAGGCTTGTCTGCGTCGTTGCGCACGCGACTTAAAGCTAGCATGACAACTTGCGAATCCTATCGCCTGAAACTCTGCTGCTTAAAGCTAGCATGACAACTGGCAAATCCTGTCGCCTGAAACTCTGATGCATGTGAGCGCTGTACCCCGATCAGCGTCTCAATTCAACAACCTCCGGGCATGCCTACTCGGTCTGCTGCTCCTGCTCCTGGTCCTCGTCCTCGTCCTCCTCCAGCATCTCCTTGATGCTGTTGATCTGCGTCTTGAGGCAATCCGCGACGGTCTTGCCCTGCTGGAGTTGATTGTTGCCATCCTCCAGCGCAGACTTCACCTGCTCTGCGTCCTCCAGGGCGAGGGTGAGCCCGGCCACGGAAGCCACCAGGAGAGGCTGCATCGCCTGTGCCGGATTGGTCACGGAGTATGCGATAAAGACCATCCCCCATTGAAACCTACAGGCCTGCCCATCCTGGGAAATCGTCGGGCCGCGGGTGACATATGGGGGCAAGGTCTCCAACGCCTACTCTATGCCCAAGCCGTCGCCTTAGCTTTGTCGACGAGCTTTGTAGCCAACATCCCGGCCACGTTCTTCTCGGCAGCCTCCTCGATCAGGACGTCGAGCTCCTCCTTCGCCGAGCCGATTTTTTCCATCAGGGCGTTGATCTTCTCGGCAGCCGCCTTGGGAGCCGGCTTGGGCTTCGGCGCCTCGATCTGAGCGGGAGGCTGCTCAGCATCGCCGTCGGCAAGAGCCGCTGCACCGCGCCTCTTGCGCGGCGCCTTCGGCTCGCCCGGCGCGGCCTTGCGCTTGGAGCCCTTGACCATGGTGTCCTGGGACGCCGTAGTCTCCTGCTTCTTGGTGCGCTCCTCCCTCATGAAGCTCGCGCTCCTGATGTCGGCGCCCTCCCAGACCTGAACCTGCCGAGTGGGGTGGATGATGGACCGCGCATTCGCCATGATGTTGGCGGCCTGGAAGGCCCTGCCCTTGTACGTCTCCAGCAACTCGCTCTCGTCCTTCCACTGGTCGCAGTGGCCGCCGAACTGGCTAATGTCCGAGAGGATCCGCTGCTCAGTCACGATGTCCTGCACCGCTTTCTTCAGGTCATCACCGGAGAGCTGGTTGAGCGTGGCAATGTGGGCCGCCCTGACCACGGCGGGCAGCTCCTTCCAATCGTCAGCGAGGTCGGGCTGCCCCTTCTTCAGGCGGTTCATCTTGCCGCGCAGGCTGTTGCAGTCAGTGCACCTCCAAAGGGGCGTCCCGTCTGCGCAACGTCCCGCTTCTTCGAGCATTGCCGTGTCCATCTCCCGCTTGCAGCTCATGCACCTCAAAGCAGGCGCAACCGCCATCTCAGTGGCGAGCCGCTCGGAAGAAGGGATGGGATCTAGTGACGTAGAGGAGCACAGACAAGCGTCCACACAAAAAACCAAAGCCAAAAAATGCTGCGGAGGGGGGCAGGGAGAGGGGGGGGAGGTCGAGTGCCACCCGGACGATGCGGAGGAGGATTGGCGGACGTGGGCCCGGGACAGCCCCGCGCGTTCCGGGCGCGCGCTGAGGCGAGAGCCCAATCAGGGAGGATCTGGAGCGGGAGCGAGAGCACCATTCCCAACCAGGGACGTGTCCTCCGCTGAGGCGAGAGCACTCGGGCCAGGCCCCCCCCAAAACAAACACAAATAGCCTGGCGAAGGACCCAGCCATATGCAGTTGTGAGAACCGCAATTCAGGGCCACGAAACGTGTGAGGGGTGGGGTGGGATGCGGGCCCTGACACCGAAGCCTTCGGTAGAGCTCCCCATAGGGGTTGCGAGCGCGGGTGGGGTGGAGGCATGCGGGCCCTGCCATTGGGGCCTTCGGTGGAACTCCCAAAGGAGTCAAGAAACGCGTGAGTGGCGTGCCGAAG